GATGTAATTAAACACTTGTAAATATTAAGTAAAATCTCAGGATCAGCTCCCCACCACACACCTTTAAAGCAACTTAAAATTTTTACAATCACACTTGTTTTTTCGCACAACGATTTTGGATGCTCATTCCAATTTAGTCTTCTATCCATAATTACGCCTAAAAATTTAGTAGATAAGGATTCATTAACCAACATATCATTGATTTTTAAATGATAATCACAATGTTTTCTATTATTTTTATCGAAAACTATAAGTAGGCATTCATCTGGGGCAAGAGCAAGATTTTAACGACCAAGAATATTAGACAAGACAATGATTAGATTTTCCATGAAGATGAGGTCATTTTCGACGTCATCTGATTTGGTAAACAAAACTATATCATCTGCAAATTTTAAAACTGAGACTCTAGGATCAACAACTTCATCAATATAATTTATATAGATAGAAAATAAAGTGGGGTTAAGTACACTACCTTTTAGCAATTCCTTGAATGCACGTTTCTTAATATTGCCTGGGCAATTTATGAAGTTAATAGTCCTTTTAGCCGTTAAATTATTTGTAAATTTGGATATCTTTTTTGGTAAGCCTAGCTCAATTAAATATTAAATTAAAATTTTTGGAATAACATTATCATACGCCTCATTGATATCAAAAAAGGTAGCAACTACTTGTCCTTTTTTACAAAATTGTGATTGTATGTTAGTGATTAAGATAAAGAGACAGTCATGACATGATCTATATTTTCTGAAACCGCATTGAGAATTATTAATAAGTGTGTTACTTTCCAACCAATTTATAATTCTAAAGTTAACCATCTTTTCAAAAAGTTTTAGTAAACAAGAAGACATACTAATTGGACGAACTTTGTTATTAGCCTTAGGAATTAAAACACACAAATAATCATACTAGTCCGGTGGAAAGTCTCCAGAGCAACAAACACCTGAAGCCCCATCTTTCCAACTTATATGGCCACAGTGAATACTAATACATATTGCTCCACCTATGGAAATAGCTGAAAATTAAATGTGACTGTACCGTATCTATCGTTGGATACCCATGAGTTTAAAGTAAATTGTTTATAAAATGTGGGAATAAGTTAGTTGCTATGTGCCTGTTATTTAGGGCTACTTGTCACTTTAACATGTACTTTTATGAAAATGTGAAGAACTTTTGTCTTGAAAAAATGAGAAGTGTTTTCTTTTAATTCGTAGTGAAAACATACTTTGTACAAATAAGAAATTTTATAAAGTCTCGGGCACTTAAACATTCTTGATAGGTCGGTCTCCTTAGTAGGAAATTTATATACAATATTTAATTCAAGTAGATCTGAGGTTAAGGTACCAGAAGCCAAGAAGTAGGGTAAGGAAGGTAATTTATGTATAATGCTCGGAGTTAAAAATGAGCGTTCAAAAATGTATGTAGATGTAATATGAATCGTGAAATATGTAACAAATAAGGCCTATAATCGCTCAAAATTTTTTTGGAACTCTTACATTGCATTGTATTTATGTGTTAGTGTAAATATCGTCGAATTTTAGCGTTGGGAAGTATACAAAGAGTGTATGGAGGTATTCACGAACGGTGTTGATATGCTCAGGTAAAGGGCAAATTAAGGGTAGGTAAGATTGTGTTAACAAGTGAGAGTAAGACAGATGCAATTAGAAAAATCTACACAAGTCAGTGGGCCCAGCGTCACTTCTTCTTTAGCTTCCGATCGAGATATTCAGTACGCGCGCATTTAAGCATTTGCAACAACCCGTCAACCAGCAGCTATGATCTTCGAGTTTCAATATCCTCTCCAGGCTTATCTGCAACCTTCTATATCTGTCAGCATTCCTAGGACCAGAGAGCAGCTTGACATCGCTGTACGATCCAAGAGTAAGCGAGGGCCATGAGTGAGAAAAGCAGTGAAAAGTGCTAGATCAAAGACGAGGTATTCAAGGCATGGTAACTGAAGCCTTTTTGTTGTACAAGAGAATTATTGATGGATAGAAGTTTATTTATGCCAAAGATAAAAATTTCTAAATAGCAACACCTTAAAACACATATTTCGTAGGTTTGAATAAAACATAACAATATACAATAATGATAGATTTAGCATATCAACGTACATTAAGTAAGCAAAATTATTGGTATAAATTTTAACATCAACAGAGTTTATAAGCCTAGTTAATTTTAAATCAAGATAGCTCAAGAGGTCGATGTGAACAAATCAGCAATACTCAAAATGGGGTAGTACTAAGGCACTAGCCAACAACTTACGTAATTGAACCAACAGCAGACCACCCGCGTAACGCGGACAATGTGGAAGTCGATGTACCCTAGAACAAACGCCCGAAATATGTATATTTCGTGATTGGTCACTGTAGACGGTTACACCCAGCGATTTAATACTACTTGAAAAACGTACATGATAATCTCTATTTATTACTCGCGACGATGATTGCTTATGTGCATGGGACATTGAACTGAGACAAATAAGATCGCCAAAATTTCTAATCGTAAATCATTAACCTCGTTAAATTTTCGGACCATCCACCCACACAGCTTTTATATCCTCATTTCTGAGTGAAATTTTCATTGGCAGATTTGCAGGCTTGCACTGCACGTAGATCTGGATGTCGTTAGATAATATCATCGCCTTGCAATGACGAAGAACACAAAGTACCGGATTTTAAAATACTATAAGCAATACACAGCCAGTTAAAAAACTGCAAGTAACTCCCGAAGTTCACGGCAAAGATGAGGTCAGTCCATCATGTAGGTCAATAGCACTAAAGAACCGATCTAAAACGATAATGCAACCGTTTAATTGCTTCTGCCAAGAAACTGAAGTCAGCAAGCACCTTTAACAACGCCGAATAGCATACGGTATCAAATGCTAAAATCAAATGAGATTACCACTGTGAGTAGGTTTTATCCATACCGAGTCTAATGTCATCAGTGACTTTCAGCAATACAGTCTAAGTACTGTCTTCCTGGCAAAAAGTGGATTGTATGAGCGATATAAAAAAAAAAACACGTCCCTAGATACTCGTGAATCTGTACGCTTATGATATGGTCAGTCACCTTAAGTAAAGCATATTCGCCACTGGTCGCATGTCTTTGGGTTCCAAGGAAGCGGAAATCTGAGATAGCAGCACAATAGTAGCCCGTTTCCATAGACTCGGCTAAATACAAGTTCTGGCAAATTTATTAATAACATATGTCATGCAAGAGCCACTAGAGATAACGCTTCCCTGAGATACTGCAATGATATGCCACAGATGCTGCGCCCCTTAGATGCACACGAGCAATAAGTAATCGCTAATCTTACCTACACCACGGCAACTGGACACAAATGTAAAGTCACCTCATCGCTTGAAGCACGATTCAACATAACTTTGAGTTCACTCGCGGTGCATAGCCGATGAGTGCATGAGATCGATACATGATTTTTCAGGAGAATTTTCCAGGAATAGGAAATCATCAAGGACAGGTATTTTCGCGACGGTGTTCATCTGTCAGTGTGTGTGTATGTCAGAAATTGAGCGTAGCGTAGCGTCAAATAGCGCTATAAATAGTTATAATAAACAAGAACGTTCATAGAGATTTTTGTGTGCTTAGGACTCATTTTTTGCGAGAGATTCCTTTTAACAGTAGTAGCTGTCGCATACAAATACCGCAGTTTCTGTGATGTTCGCAGTTGCAGCTTTTGGATGAGAGTGTATCTATGTTAAAAAAAGGTGTAATATCGCAATTAATGGTTTAACAAAATCTATGTGTATTAAAGATAGTATACCTATGATTTAAAGAGGTAATGAACAAATGGTTAATTTGCTGAAAAAAAAAAATTATCTTGGCTTTTTCATACGTTATATCAACTTTTTCTTTAATTTTTTTAAAATAACAAGATACTTACCTGTCAAAACTGTTTGAGGTTACAGCCACTTATTTATGAGACATTGCAAAAACAACGTACCTTCGAATAAAAAACATTTTTGGACGTCGTTTTGACGGTTCTACAGTAAAAAAAATGACTATGCCTGTTGCATCATCGTAAAATATAGGTCTCACCAAAATAAATGAGCTCTTGATCGATCGTTTTTGTCGACTCCACCTTTATTAAACCATTAAGCATTTAATGCTTTTTTAAAAACAATTGCGATTTTTCGTGAACAAATGAACTTTTTTTTGTGAAAGTTAAATGGTATATTTAGGTCAGTGATAGACATATTTTTGAAAATTTTTAAGTGTGTAGTACCCTTCAAATTTACAATATCTACAAGACAAAAAAATGCCAGTTGTCTTACTTATAATATGTTTAACACAAAATTGCAAGAAACTTAATTTATTTTGATTGTTGCACATACATCTGGTATTTGATAATGTTCTGTACGTCCGAGTTGTGATCAATCAAAAAAGTTGATCAATAAAACACCTTACTTGTCTTTAAACACTGTGGCAATAACCTTTCTGGTAATATATTCATTTTTTATTTTATTTTTAGATCTCTTTTTTCTAGTTTTTTTTTCAACCATCCTACAACGTTTAGTTTTTGGACTTAAGTGGTAAACTCACGTTTCACCTTTCGTGGCAGTCTGTCAACGAAGAGTGTTGCTTTTAAACATTATTTATTTACTTGGTAAAAAACGAACAAGTAGGATGATTTTAGAGAAAATGAAAATAGTTAATTTTATAGTAACTTACTAGAAAGTAAAAGAGGTACCGTTAAATTTTGTTTCTTCAATCATTGTGAAAGCTAAATCCTAACTAGTACAAGAGATGAATAGATAAACTAAAGATGGTGGTTACAGTCTGTATAAAGACATTTCATATCCAACCAAATCCAATACATTTCTGCGTTAAGAATTAAAAAAAGCTTTAAAAGTTTGCTCCACTAGTGAATTCTATTTTTAAATAAAAAATCAACTGCTTTAATAATGAATCTTACCATATCGCTGTAACACAGATGCACAAAATGTTTGTAACTTGAAATATCTTCTTTTTTTTTTTTATAGAAGGTGTACGAGAGAAAGAAAAAAACATCATGGCTAATTTACTTAAACAAATTGCCTTTATGCGAGACAATACGTATCATTTAAACAGATGTATGTGGAACGATGTACAGGAAGACTGGCCTTTTTATACAGAACAAGAAAAAGCTATTTTGAAAAGAAGAAGACCAGAAAATCTTACACCCCCGGGCTCAAGTGATGGCGGCTCTAGTGGTAATATTCAACATCGCTTTTAATAGCTCATGAAGTCCTACTTATTTACTTTATTTTAGGTAGTGGTCAGTCGCCTAATTCTATTCATCCAGGTTCACCACCAACTGTTACTGCTTTACCGTTTGATGTTTTTGGTACTAAGAGACCTGGTTATTATCAGGGCAATGATGGTTTACCGACCAAAAGACAAAGAATTTCTCACTATCGTAAGAATGATCCAGATGTTAGTTACTCAGCATGTGATGATAGCACAAAGCTAAATATTACGGCCAATATCAACACTGTTCTTGACGAAAAACAACACCGAAAAGATGACCAATTCAGATATCATGAGGAAAAGTCATTATGTATTATTGAAAAGTTAAATGATTTTATAAGTAGTGACACTGATGATCTTGATTCAACAACTGTGACAATGTCTAACAAGCGTAATATTGTAAATAATAATGTATTGAGTATTCAAAATAGTTACCAAGCTTTTGATGGTATTGACCATAGTAATGAAAATCTTTGTCAATTCTCAGAAGATGATCTAAATAATTATCGTGAGAAAACAGTAACTAATTATAATGGATTGTACACTTCCGTATCAAAAGAATGTGTCCCTACCAATTCCTTAATAAGCAACCAACAAAATTATGAAGAAGGTGAAAACAACGTTGAGGGTGATATCCTTAATGTATCTGAAATACGCATTTCGAACCAGTTTCACAGCGGGAATGAAACGGACTCATTTCTTACTATTTCTACATCACATACTTTTCCGGAGTTCCCTCATGATTTAAAATATTCTGATTATTCGAAGTAAATTCTCATTGATTTTTCTGTCATATTCATCTTTCTAGAAATATTTTACCTACACATATTATTTTGCAGCCACTACACTACAATTCATAATTTAGAACAGAGAACACAATATAAAGCAGAGTTCAATGCTTATTATAAGGAATATAGAAAATTACATGTCCAAGTTGTTCAAATAAGTAAGCAATTCAGCCAGTTAAAAGATAGACTTGAAAAAAAGTCGTACGATGGAAACATGGAAGGCTATGAGGTTAGTTAATTTATCTCTTATTTCTCCTATCAGATTTAGGATCTAAGTAAACAATTGAGTCTACTACACTTCTTCAGCGGCTAGTGTAGTCATCATAAATAAAGACCTAAAAAAATTGACTGAAGAGGCGCAACTACATATTAACTATGTGGAAATAACAACAATATCTTAAGAGTAACTACTTAGTCGAATTCAAAAAACTTTGGTTAAAAAGTTTTATAATATAAATTATAAAAAATTCTACAATAATCTTTTATAGTAATGTTCATATTTTCATAATACTGTGTATCTTCTTTATCACTTCTTTAATTTTTACTAATACATACTCACTGTTTTTATAGAATCAACCTGTAATAAACTTTCTTTCAATAGATTACACATAATTTTTTCAGAAAGGAAAATATCAAGCTAAGAGGTATGGCAATTAATAATTTTTATGAATTAATTTTACTCATTTTAAAACACTTTGTGCTTTGTTTTCAGACATTCTATTTGAAATTTACTACACATGTACCATATTAAAATTTTTTGATATGTCAAAATGCACTCATATGTGACATAATTGAAGGCAAATCCTTTTCTGAGTTCAACTCAAGTTTTACACGTTTTTTGTACCATAGCAGAAATTTAGACGGGTAGTTTAGTCTACAACTTGAAAAAACTTAAAAATAACTTTTTGATATGCTTGCCTTGGAATCCTGCCCTTGAAATTAAGAGTCACAAGTTTATTTTTTCATTCTAATGGCAATAATAGTTTATAGCACATGAACCGCAACACAAATTGACACTTTTTTGGGAAACGTAGTCGTCTGAAAAAATTATTCAACGGACAGTTTTGATGGGAAATATTAGATAAATTATAGATATATTTTGTGAATTGCTAAATTAGTCAATTGCAATATTGGGCAGCTTGTAGTATCTAATTTTTTTTTTTAGAATATATTTTATTTTTGTTTTACACAACAAGAAATATTGTAATAGTAGATAAAATCAGAAAAATGTGTCGTACAGTTTTCAAAATTATTTTTAAACTTCGAAGCCTGAAAATATGGGTAAACCCTAACCTGAATTTAGTAAAGTATATTTCTCTTAATCATTTTTTATAAAAAATTAAACAAAAAAGCTTTAGATCTCGTCAAAACAGACGTATTTTGTATTTAACATATTTAGTTATGACATTAAATTGGCTCTCTAAATCGCAAACAATGCAAAAAATTTCAAAATTATCGTCCCCTCCTAACTTAACTTACTCGTTTTGCATTTTAGATCTTAAAGTTAATAGAAAACTCATTCACCTTTAAAAAAATACAACTTTTTTGTACCTAACATTTTTGTCTATAAGACAAAATTAACGCTATACATCGCAAAAAAATAAAGTAACAGCCTGTTCAGAATATGTACGATCGATGCCTGAGGCAAAGTCAAGAGTGAAAATAATCATTGTGTTTTCAGGCTTTTATCTCTTTTTCTCGTGGAATATATAAATTTTTTCACCAATTCTGCACTGAAAAGTACCGACTTTTGACATAGTGTAGTTATAAAAGTAACATACTTCTTTTTATCAGACGTGGCTTATATACAATTTTTGCATAAATTTAGCCGCTTGTTATAAGTAATTACGTATCTTTTATTGATATTTCCAAACTATTTTATGGGGTATTCCTCTATGACTTTCAAACTTTTAACAAGATTTTTCAATATCAAATAAAATATGATCACTTTTATAGTGAAATAAGTAAGTGACGCATGGAAAATAGAAGTTAATTTGTAGTGATCCTGAACAAAAAATTAAATCTTGTTCTTTATATGTAGGAGTGTCTTTATGGTCTTAGTGATTTTTGTTTTTTGATGTTAAAATCAATAAATAATAAGTGGTGAACTTGTTATAAAATTTTTTTAAAAATTTAATTTTTTTTCTTATTTAGCAGATCATAAAATATGAACAATTGTTAATAAAGTATCATAAGTTTTTCTGATTAGAATGATAATTTAATCCGTGTATATTTTAAAATTTAAATTTGAAGTTTTCAAAGTATATTGCAATTACTTATGAAATATTTAACGAAATAGTTTTTTTTAACTGTTGCACATAAAAATTCCATTAATTATTTATCGTTACTAAAAGTTTTTATTTGGACATCGTTGTTAGATTTATAAATGAGGATTGATCTGTTCAAGACACTGAATTTATTATTTGCTTATTTTCAAACCTCAAAAATACAAAATAGCCGTACAAATAATAAAGAAATTCAGTTATTAGAAAAATTGAAACAAATAGTAATCGATGCAAAAAATAACTATAGTAAAGTTGGTACGATAGATAAAGAGACGTTGAACATGTAGAAAGTCTTTTCTTGGCAATAGTTAAATAGTTGAGGATGAAGTTCTACGTTATTTTTCTGATCCCAACTTTGCACTAAAAAATCAGTATACGTACGATACTAAAGATGTTGATTAATTATGATTACAAATAAAAAGCCGTAGAATATTGAAAAAGTGGAAAAAACGAAACTTACAAATTCAAACAGTCCAACAAAACTTCAGGAAAGTGATATTAAAAAGTCAGCTCAAATGTTGCGCTCATACTATTAATAAAGGCGGTACGTATACAGAAAAAAATTGAACATTCATGCTAGTACACACTAGATAATTTTTTAGCTGCTGGAAAATATTAAATTTTGGTACAAAATTAACTATAACGTGACCTTTATAATCTCAAACACTTAAAATTAAGACTGATGGCTGGTTCTTGACGAACAAAAATTAAATTTAATTGTTTGTAGAACGACTCTACAAATCCCGCTTCTTACATCACAGTATAGACGCAACAAATTGGCATTCATTGTAAGTCATCTTATGTGATACTAAAATTGTGCTTTAATTGAATCAAAATTTTTATTGTTCTTTTTTTTTATTTGTGTATTATGTTGCTTCATTTGGAATTTTTTGTTTCTCTTTTTCAATTTTTTTCTATAATGGACCATACACTTATTTACAAGGCAGCTAATGTAGCCGGAGATGTCAAGTTGGTTCCCAAATCTAGAAAAAGTGTCGAGTTATTTCGCGGGTGATAAAGCCTATGGTCGAGTTGGTTCCCGGGTGATAAGAGCATACGGTCGAGTTGGTTACTGGGCGAGAAGACTGCTCTATATCTATCAATAATATTTATTATTTTTCCCGTCACACTTCAATTAAGCTTCAGACTGTCAGTATAGAAATTTAAAATACTGGCGTGTTTGAAAAAATTATAAATTTTATTCCCACTAATTAAATGTTTAGTAAATTATTGCTCTTGGACAAATTACAAAGTCTGCGTAAGTAGAAATTTTGTTGCAACAGCTTTAATATACTGACGATGAGTAATAGAACCACTTTAAAATTGTATCATTGCTTGTTGCACAAAATTTTCTGTGCAAATTTGTTTTTGGTACCTTAGGGAAAGCACTACGTCGAGCAGTACCAGAATTTCTTCGAATACGATCTACGTCTTGAACAATGAAGGTGTCTACGTACGTCATATTGCTATAATTCTTCGCGTAGAAGTTTTGCTGGACGCAAAGAGATATCTTCTACTGCCTTCCGTTTTACGTTGTTGCTAATTTTCCTTCGGTTTTGAATAGCTACATCAACGGAATCATGTGTGAGATCAATGGATGTTTCAATGATTTTGTTACACGAATCAACTTTTATGTAACTTGCACGATCTGAATGTACACGCCCAACGTTGAATATTGTTATTCAATTTTTTTTTGATCATTGAAAGTATACTTATTTAAACGGATTAGAGGTTTTCCTTTTTCACTTGTCAGAAATTCCAGTATTGCACTACAACACTAAAATGACAATTAATAATTTTTAACTGTATTGCCGTATGCGTACATACCTTCTGTATCACAGTGAAAGTATTACTGGAAAAGAGCCAGCTGATATATGTAAACATAAACTGAATAAAGTTCGTATTCAAAATTAAAAGGTTGTAGTGATTTCTTTGAAATCGAAGCTTTAAATTAAAGTTAGTTTAGACATTTGAGGATGTAGTAATTCGTTGGAAATTGAAACTTTTAAGAGTACCAATGTACTGTATAATGTACATTGTACATTAATTATGTATACATTATGTCTGTATAAACATTTGATGCTACAAAATATATTCTTTTTTATATGAGCACAGGTTTTATAAACACCTGGGAAGCAACTTGACCGTATGTTTTTATCGTCCGCAAACCAACTCGACCTATGCTCTTATCGCCCGGAAACCAACTCGACCATGCCCATTATGTTTGCTATATCTAGGGAGCCAACTCGACATCGGTCAATGTAGCTACAGTGTTACAATACTGCAATGATACCATAGGGCAAAGGAAGCCGTAAAATCACTAGAATGTGATAGATGGAGTGGACTATGTCATCTAGTCCAATGACAGTTAAGGCGCAACTTTCATATCTTACAATGCCTTTCAAAAAGAAAAATAAAAAAGTTGACCAACAACTTCAAGTCTCCTTGCTACATCGATCATGATATTGTAAAACGCAAACATCGCATTTCTACTAAACTAAGCAAAGTCATGACTATTAAGTCGCCACTTCCAATTTTGATATCATCTTAACACTACAGCACATCATCATCTACAAAAAAATCTAACATGGAAGATTCACAACAGCAAAACCTCGAGGAATAAGACACCATCATATTATTGTACTAATTAATTTATTTATTTATTTCCTCATTTATTGATAGAATTTACAGGCCGTGGGCCCAATTACTGTCAAATAACAAAGTGTGCTGCCGAGCGCAGCGTATAACGAATTTACAGTAGTGTAGTAACATAATTGTAGCTATAAAAATTACTAAGTTGTATGTTATAAGGAATTGTATGTAATACATTAACTTTAGTTAATGTTCAATGTGTGTATATGATTAGTAATTGAAAGTTGTAAATAGTATTGAGATAAAGTGACTGTCAGTAATAATAAATATTAAATATTAAATAGTGCAACCT